CGTGCTAGACTCAATGCTACCGTGTCAGGACGAAGACGAGTTGGCAACAGACGCCGAAGAATTCGCAGAGCGTGCCGAGGAAGCCCGGCAGCTCGCGCGACTGCACATCGGCCAGCAACAGCAGGCAGACGCACGACGCTATAATAGCCGCCACAGAGAAGTGTTTTACAGCCCCGGAGATCAAGTTTGGGTGTGGACGCCCGTCCGCCGCCGTGGCCTTAGTGAAAAGTTGCTGAGCCGGTACTTTGGCCCATATAAAGTGTTACGCCGCGTCAGTGACGTGAACTACGAAGTGGTTCCGGACTCAACACCCCATGCACGGAGCAGGACACGGCTGAGGCCGGACGTCGTTCACGTGTTGCGCATGAAGCCATTTATTGCGCGTTGTTCGTAACTTTTCCTTTACCGTACAGCGTTCTTTGTGTTTTTTGTTTATTTTGTGAACTTACTTTCTCGTTCATTGACGTTTCCTATGTTGGCACGCTCTTCAATTTTTACTTTCACTTCATTCGAATTTCCATTTTTTTTACGTGCCTATGTAGTAGCATCGCGGTGCTGCTATGTACTTTCCTTTCCTCTTTTTGGTACTTGTTTTTTTTTCTTTTCGGAAGGGGGGATAGTGCCGCCAGCACGTAGTGGTGGGTTGACAGCAAGAGCGGCTCTAAATCTGGAGGAAAAAAGAAGATCGCGTTCTTCTTTGCTCGAGAGCTAGCCACGACTGACGCATCGTCCTAGTGCTAGCTACCTGGTGGTTTAATAAATCCCCCAGTACTTGTGACTCATCGTGACAATATATATATATATATATATATATATATATATATATATATCGCAAGAAGAGCACAAGGGCATGTGACCACTGCTGTATATAGCTCAGTTGATAGAGCACCATACGCGTTGTGCGAAGGTACTCACGTCATAATTACCCCACGTAGCATTCCTTACACATTGCTCGGCTTTCTTGTCTGTTAGATCTATTTATTTTTTTGCAGATTTTCTGCACTTTATGTGCTGCAATGATAGTGCCTGACAGAAACGTCAACGAGCAAAAAGCGACACGTGAGGTATACGCACAAGTCGCGTGTAACTGCTCGGTGTTTCGAACGTTTCAGAAGGCCAAGCGAACGTAGACAGCTTCCTGACCGCGACGTATGGCACCAACTCTGGAGTGCTGCGTGCGCACACTGGTAAAATCCAGCTCACTGCTTATGGTCCCGATCAAAACCTCGTGGACGCGGTCCAGAAAGATGTGTTCAACTTGAAAGGAATCTACATTAGGCTTATCGCAAACTGGGACCCCTCATCTCTCCAGCCATTCTTCGACGTAAGTACTTAAGTGCATGATCAGGCTGCAAAGCGGGTCATTACTCAATGAAGATAGGATATTTTTCGTATATTGTGAGTGTAGACAATTTGTCAGATCGAAGCACTCACTCTCTGTCAGTAGACCCCTGCAATTTCAGCAAGCCCGTCTGGCTTTACTGCTTTAATGTGATGTGATTTGCAACACAGAACTCTAACGCAATCAATCTCACCATAAGAATGTTATACTACAAATGATTACTGCATGACTAGTGACCGCAGAAGATTTTATGCATCGAGAAAGAACAAGCACGGTCTTCTCATGATAGCTTGAAGTAACATGCTTTAATCCTGCATTTGGAAGTCAGGCAGAATTGGTGATGCTGCACATAAGAAGAAACGGCAAAATTGTCAAGAATGTTTTGCTGTAGAGTACATTATCACCCATGTCAAAACTACGATAGGTAGGATAACGTCAGCACTTACTGCATGTTTCCAAAAAACGAGTCGCTTTTGTGCCAAGTCGTCTTGCATGAAACCTGTCGCCAGCGACCACCGTCGTGACAGGACAGAGCAACAGTCATGTCAGGCTATCGGAGTGGCGTAAATTGGCTAACTACTGCTCACGTTTGTAAAGCTACATTCTCACTATGAACCAAATCACGTTTCGAGCCTGGGAATTGTGTACGATAGGTCACCATACGTCAGCCGTTTCCGCGCTCTCATTTCGGTCCGCGAGGAGTGATTTGTGAAACAATTGAGGCCCAACTCACAGTTAGGATCCTCGGGGAGCAAGGCCGATATCCTCGCTTGCAGCGGGAATTCTCCCCTGTCTTATAAATGCTGGCTGCAGAGAAATTCTGATCGCATCGCATGTCACGGAACCGATTGGTGCGCGATCGAGTCCGTTGCGTAAGTACAGCTTAATTGAAGGCGAAAACGTGAAAATGTCAGATATTCCTAAAAAAACAGCACACTACTCGAAGACAAAAATAAAAAATACCTTGGGTTTTCTAATGCATTCGGGTAAAGTGAGTTGAAGGCAAAAGCTGACTTTTTTTTCTTCTCACGAATACGCAAGGGCGCGTTGCTGTTTCTGTAGTATGATACCTATCTTTTTTTTTCCGAAGGAGGTAACCCTGACTTTGGTCGGTGGTCTTTTCTTGGAGCTTCATGTGGCTGACATCCCCAAGATCACCCAAGGCCAGTAAGGAATGCTTGATGTATCGACGTTACACTTTTTTTCTTCGAGTGCAGACAAGTTAGCATCTCTATACGGCAGGTTTTAATACAGAATAGTGGTGCTTCACGTAGCAATTTTTTGACACGTTGGATAGTGTCAAGCTCCTGTTCTGGCATACCCATCGTTATTTTATTCAACGTCTACGCATGTATGTTTCACTTCACTACATGCGCCCGCATCTTAACTGCCCTTAATACCTGACACAGGGGCAAGACCAAAATGCTAACTCATGTTGTATTGCAAATGGGGGGGGGGGGGCTACGTATTGTTAGCACAGGTGTAGATTGAGAGAGTGGGGGTGAGTGCTGGTGTGGCCTTGAGGGGGGGACACAAGCGCCTCTTTTGCACCCCCTGCCAACTCCCATGACCCCTTATGTACTATCATTTTAATTAGTATCGGAAGTTATAAAGGGCTACAGGAACATTTACCAGGATTTAATTAACACAGAACAAAATGTGTACTTTGCACGTATCTCACCTGAGTATGGCTGCACATTAGCGGGCCACGAGGGCCACATTTGCCGTCCCCACGCTTGAAGTAGCGCGCAGCTTACACGTGCGTTCAGGCATCGAAGAAGCCGAGCACAAGGTGGCAATTGCACAGCACTGCTCTGAGAAACTTCGTGATGCTTTATTGCCTGCTGCAACAACACAACACCTAGCACCACGCCTCGTTCCGAGGGCGGTTAGAGGGGCAAAGGGGGCTCACTGCACCACTGGTAGAAATATGCAATTAAGGGTGCCGTTAGCAAGGCCTCCGTGGGTGCAATGGCTCACGGCGGAGACGTCACTAAAGGGAAATGCCCCTCGCGACCATGCTGAGCACGCTCAGGATAAGCTGACCACAGTGACCGATCGTTTCAGAAAGGGCAAACTTTGTTGACGTTGGTCTTTGATTAGGGCAGCTCGACGTAATATAACAATGCGCGAATACCTTGCACCACTCTTAGGATAAGCGTTCCGAAAGGGCAATGCGTGGCTCGCCGCTAACGCCAGGCACCATTGGTTAACTTGGTCCTACTGAGCCGTAAAGCAAAGAAGGCAATAGACGGTATCGAAAACACTTGCTTACTATACGCTTCCCACAGGACTGTCTCTTCCCATCACGCCAGAAACGTCTCGCAATACTCCGTAGAGCGCCACAGTCGAGATCGAGCACCAGGCGAAGGCACCCCACTCGTCCCAGTACTGTATGACCATGACAGAGGGGAGTGTCATGGTCAGACATGCGAATGGCAGAGCTAGGAAAAAACTGGGGTGATTGTGAGAGGCAATCCTAATACGGCTATAAATCTCACTGAATCATGACAAAGTACCGTAACATTTTGGATTGTCCCGTACTTAAGCACCCGTGTTGTCTAACCCAACTATTGCATTATGATTCATAAACGGAAAAGGAGATAACAACCCACTAGCGTTCCACGAGCGCTTTTGCTCACCATCCAAGATATCTCTCAATACCACACTCTATCATACGCCCAGTTCAGCAGGGATACTGAAGACTATGGTGTGGGCCATTCCAGCGGGCCAGGACCATCGCCGAGACTTCGAATAATGTTTCTCGAACGATGGATTTGTGGCAGCCTAGCCCCGGCAAAATCGCTATGCATATAAAGTTTATTTACCTAAACTCCCAGTACGGTTCTTGCAGTGTGTTCTGATTGGGAATTATACCAGTGAAACTAAAATGCTACTGTCACTGGTGTTGAGTATGATGCTCCTTCGCTCTCAAGGAGAACAAACCTAGAGCCGAAAAACACGTTTTTTTGCAAAGGGTCAATGAGAGTGCCCATGTAGTGTAGTGACATCTAGAGGGATGTTGCATGCTCTTTCCATCTGCCCGCCTTCGCAATCGTAAAAGCTTTCTGCTGCCCTTTGCCAGTGTACTTCAATGCTCTCTACCTTTGCGAACGTTGACATTCCTCGGCACTCCCGCACTATTCTCTCTTGCTGCCGGTTACAATACTCTTTGATCCCCCTATGAGGTGTTGGTGAATCCATCGACAACTTGCAAGTTATACGCGTGTGTGATGACACGTATTACGCCAGCAGCGATGCGTATCATCACGCACGCTCATAACATGCTGCAGCAGGTTCTTTGCCCAGGAAGACATTCTTGCGCAGTGGTTCACATCGTCTACTTCTCACCCATTGGCCAGGAATGTGTTCGGCTACTCTGTGGTACCAATCGCATGTTGCGTCATCAAGATCACGATTTGGTGAGTCGCAACGGCCTGCTTCAGCGAAGAAATGACGCTTCCGGTGGCCGCCTTTGGTTGTTAGTAGAACCTTCAGTCAGCCTTGAGCACGTGTGTCTATCCACTGTGATCCGCCCTGTATGAGCACTCGGTGATCTTTAAAACCCGCTAGTTCTTTATTTCATGTTTCATGTCCGCTAAACCTCCCCATCAAAGAGCAATCAAAACAATTGCTATGTTTTGTGATGCAGCAGGGGATATGTCAAGTTCATGGTTGTAGTTCCACCTGGCGTGACTCAGGAGAGCCTCGCCAAGCTGAAAGTGGCCACCTTGGCAAATCCACTACGCATCATGGTGAGTACGAGGGTGTTGCGTTAACCAGGGCCAGAATTCAGAAACACCTTTAACCCTAGCATTGTTCACAAGACTCCAGCCGATCTTCATTCTGAAATGGCTTATGCAAATATAACTACACGACGCCTGTACCCACCAAACAATTGCATACGCAGTACCGTGATCTAGGGAACGTGTAGGTTCAAGGGTACTTGGGTATAGAGGGGTGTATTGGTTCTGTGAATTCATATTTCGTGGCCTGCACGCACAAGCTCGTATATCTTCGCAGAAGAATCAACAACTGGGCTACTCGGCAAGTTTTCTGGAACATCAGAGCTCTCTTGAAATGACGGCAATGGGACTCTAGCAGTTTACAGTGTGCGCTACACACAGAAATTATCAGCGATCTTACAACTTATTCTTTTGCATCCAACAGATCAATATGTTAACAAGACCAGGCCAACCATGCAACTGTTAATTGGGTAACAGTTTAGGAAACCACGCGACGGCAGCTGGTGCGTATAACGTTGCGAAAGCTGGTAGACATGTGATTTTAGGAAAATGTTCTCCAGTATGACCTCGAGCAAGAGCTCTCCGTTACCAAGATATTATTTTGCCGTGACTATGACAGCCAATGTTCCAGAAATAACTTGACCTCGATGACCCGCTACTTAAGCTTGTAGTCTGCGGGATAAGAAGTGTACCTTCCATCAGAGATTTCCTGTTTCACTACATTGCCGCGTCGCGCTAAATGTCATCTTCACTATCCAAACAGCACTTCAGTAGAAAGATTATAAGAAAGTCAGCTTCACGAATGATTTTTTTTAGTTCAGGCTAAATTTGAGGTTACTTCTCTGGGATAGCCTAAGAGTGCTAAGACTATTTAACACTTCTTCAGACGGAAACTCTCGTCTGGAAGCATACACGCTATTGCAGTTCGCTAATCACGATAGCACTGCATCAATTTCTTGCCGCGGTGGCAGTGGTGGTGTTCTAATAGCGTCGTTTGAGACTTAAGTGGTTACAATATAGTATTGGCCCTTGGCTGCTTGCAGTCACTGGCTGCTGGTGCTTCTCAACGAATGCTAAAGTCTCGCCTGTTAGCGGCCGATGTAGAGCTAGACGTTGCATCCTCCTACTGCTCGAGATTTATTAGTTTCCACTAGGTGGTTGCTTCAACCGGAGCGCATACGAATAGAACGTGACGGAAATCTGCTTTAGGCGTCACACGACGGGCAAGAAAAAACGGGCTTGCTTCATGGACCCGGTTGAGCTGGAGGCGTGTTGATAGTGCTAAATACAAAACCAACCCTTCTTTCAGCCATCAGGTACTAACAGGTAACCCTAACTGGAGAGGTGTATCGGAATATTTCTGCAGCAAAATTGAAATGGAGCCGGGGAAAAAACCGAAAGTGTGAGCCCACATGGGTATATTATGTGTGTGAATGCAATTTTATAGTGGCAATCAAATAAATCAAGTCGAAGAAGTGACATTTTCCTCTGGCACAGCGTCCTTCTAGAACAACGAACATGCTCAAACGCTTCAGCTTAGAAAATACAGCCTGCCTGTAGCTAAGGCAGGGTGCCGCTGGACAGGCGGCACCCTGCCTTAGCCAGGGCCAGAATAAGGCGGCACCCTGCCTTAGCCAAGGCCTTAGCCAGGGCCATCAGATACTCAATATGAGCTTGTCTGTTGTCTCTCGCATGGAATTTCGAACAAACTACGCCTATTGCACTGCGCTGACTGCAAGTTCATTCGGGTGTAATAAATGTATCAGCTATAATTGCTGTGATATTCATTTCCTCAGCTTCTTTGTTTTCTGTAAACAAGTGCATTTCGTGCCACTTGCTGATTGAGCGCTAACTTACAAGCCATAAATTTCATTGCCTACGAGCCTTACGAGCCTTGAAAAGGGCTTAGGCTTTACGTCCAAAATCACAATACTATTATAAGAGACGCCATGGTTGAGGGCTCCGAAAATTTCGACTACCTGGTGTACTTAATAACGCGCTCCAAAATTTAAGCACACGAGTTTCTAGCATTTCGCCACTATCAAAATGCGGCCGTGGTGGCCGGGACTCGATCCCGGGACCTTCGAGTCAGCTGTGGAGCACCGTGACTACAAGAACACCAGGGTTGTTCGGCCAAAAGCATTGCGTCACGTAATGCGCACGTCTACTAAGTCAGCCGGCTTGTTTTTATTTTTTTTTCAGAACAATACAATAAAAAAAGCTGTTAAAGACCTAGCGAAGTCTAAGATCTGTGCGGCGTTCACAATGTCCGCATTAAAGTCCATGTCAGCGCAAGGAGAAATCAGCAACCCCGGAGATCCTGCAGATCTCGTTTCATCTGTGAAGCAGACGGAGGTGAGTGCTGAGGACGTTCGCGGTGAGTTTCAAATGTAAATGAAAGCAGTCATTTTTAAATACCTCGCCTCTATATACAAAGCTTGCGGAACGAATTGTCGAATAAATGTGACAAAATAGTGTGTTTCATGCAGTTTTTGAGCCAGTAAACGACAACAACCTTTTTACGTCTGTTGTAAAGGGGCCCTCCAACACTTTTAAATGCCAAGCATTCGTTAGCGAACGTAAAAACACTTTGACCGCTTCTTTCTTTCTTTCGTCTGTCTGTCTGTCTGTCTGTCTGTCCGTCCGTCCATCCGTCCGTCCGTCCGTCCGTCCATCCGTCCGTCCGTCCGTCCGTCCGTCCGTCTGTCTGTCTGTCTGTCTGTCTGTCTGTCTGTCTGTCTGTCTGTCTGTCATGCGCTTACAGCGGAGTGCTCTCGTGGTCGTCTTCTTCACTTGACTAATACCGAAATTTGAATGCGAGGGTAATAGTGCATAACAGACGCGATCAACAGGTCATTGCGGGAATAGCGCGACATCCATGTCACATACATCACGAAACCATTTTTTTAAGTCACGTGTAGCACATACCCGTATATACTACGGCCCATAAGAAGTGACTATGACTTACCTGATTGACGCCTTGTATCAAACCAGGAAAGGCAGTGAGAAAATTCGAAAAACATTCTTGCGCTAGCGGTGTAGAGCTTATACCGACGACTATGCGGGACAGGCGTCAGTGGCACTGTGGGAGAGGGAAACGGTCGAGAGATGGAAAGTTTGAAAATCTTGGTTAGATTGAGAAAGGAGCCCAGGTGTTCTGCATGACAGTCATGCATTCTACAGTTACGCTCATGCTTGAAACAGCTTACGAGAAATACCCTATATTGGCCGCATATCATGACAACGTAACTGTGGTAACAGTGTTCAATGTGGGTTTTGGTAATAGCGTATATTTCATAATAACTGATATGCCTCGCGAAGCTATGGTCAATCATCGCACATACCGGAGAAATACGACGAAAACTGTTTCTTATGGGCACAATAACGCACTGTGGCGTGAGGTCAGTTTTGTAGAGCTGAAAACTGCACTCTGATGCGAGTACCATAGTGACGTCATTGCATAGGATACCTTTTGGGCGTTGGTGTAGCAGACGTTCCTAGTAGGCCCACAATCTATCGTGTAGGCAGGGGGTGGGGATGTCCCACGAGCCCTCAAGGCCCTCAGCATTCGACCCCCGCCCTCCTCACAGGAAAACGTTTCCTATCTACGGGCCTGTCAAAATTATACCTTTCTTATAGTCGAAATTCACAAAGATGTCCATGGACTTCGCAACGCTTGGCCAAAATCAATCAAATTACGCCGAAGGCCACCAGTCGCCTAATGCTTTGCGTAACATGGACTCCCAGAATGACTACGATTTGCCGACC